CAGATGAACATATACATATACACATGTGCATGCAAATGCAGATGTGTTTTATAAATCCTGAGTTTGTCCTGAGACCTCCAGCTTCCAGGCTGTATTACATTATTCTGTTTTCCCATAACTTAACCTCTCTGGTTCCACAGTCAGAGCCAGGGCTCCTAAGAACACTGTTGCTCTTACCTCTTAGGGCAGTCCCGTAACACATCTAAAGTTATTTCAGAATTGCTTTGCCTGTACCATTACCCAAAAACCTAGGCTTACTCGAATGCACTTGGGATTGTCCCTCTCACCTAAGCCCGCCTAGAACCAAGGGCACATATCCAATTCTGTGCTTGTATGTTGCTAGAGTAGTTTGTTGCTTTAGCAAGTATGTTTTTGATGTTCATTGCATGTACAATTGGATTAATATGCTTCGGTCTGATTCTGATTTCTCCCACTTCCTGTTCCCGTTGATTTAATTTTTTCAAGTATAGCGCACATTAATATGTTTCAAACTGTGGAAATTATACCAAAAGCTTTACTCCGCGGTCTGTCACCTGGTACTTCTTCCTTCCTCCTCTGACCAGTCCTGCCCACACAGAATTCCCCCAACCCCCTGAAAACAGATCCACTGTCTTCTACCTTGTTTGTCTTGTGCTTCTGCCTTTGCAGATAAGTGCTGCACATTTACGGCTTCTGCATTCTTCTGCAAGAAGGTAACAAGCTGTACACCGAGCTAGCTGTGCAAGCACTTCGCAAATGCCCACACTCTTGGACTTAGTGGTACTCTTGCAAATCTGCAGGACGTGCTGATAAATGGCTTGTTATTTTGTGCTTTCTACTTTGGCTGCAGCTGAATAAGTGGCCCCAAGTCACAGAGCGTGTGGAGAGTGATGTGCAGGTATTAATTAGTGCATGTGATTCCTGCCAAGCAGACCCTCAGCCCATGTCTGGGGGACTCTCTCCCCATCTGGTGTCAGGGCTGCCTTGTCCTTTTGCACTGGAATTTGCCTTGTCCTTTGTGTATCACACAAGGCTTATAGCAAGCAGGAACGAATCTGGGTTTATTTTTTGAATAGAGGTGGAATTCCTATAATATAAAGGTGACCATAAAGGTAATGAGATAGTTTTGTGCTAACGTCATTTCTGTGTGATTCTGAAGTGTTTTCTCTACCCCAGAGGAGAACTTGCACCAATCAAGCAGACACTCACCCTAACCCCAGGCCTTGACATCCCCAATCTGTCTCCCTGGATTCATCTGTTTTCAATATTGCATAAAAATGGAATTATACAATATGCAGCCTCTCTTTGTCCCATTCCTTTGCCTTCACCTGATGCTTTAGGGTTCATCTACGTTGTAGCCCGTATCAGTGCCTGCTGTAGACATTTGAAGATGATTAACATCACACCTGTGCTTTTTCACTCATCCACTGATGGGCCTCGGAGGTGGAGTACAGTTGGATGGAGACGTGTGTGGCTTGTACTCCTCCTTGTGCTCCGCCGCTGCACGTCATGTGCTCACAGGCAGCAGTCAAATTCGCCTTCCATCCCATTTGTTGACTGAAGATCATAATAACAGCTAACTCTGGAGTGATTGGGGGGTTGAATCAGAAGGGTTTGCGAGGCTCATAGCATAGTCCCTACCAAATAGGGCTTTTAGCAAACAGCAACAGCCTCCCTGTAGGGTCATAGGAGGGGGTGCTAGGTAGGAAAAGAGAAGACAAATTTGTGCGGTAGCCTGTGTTTTAGTGTATTCTGTTGTAGCTGCAGAAAGCTTCATGTTTTTTTTTTAAGGTGTGCCCATGTGCTGTGGGGTTTGGGGTTTGGGCCTGCACCCCATCGCTGAGCATGGCGTTGTACATTTTATAAACAGTTCCCTAGTCAGAGCGTCTGTAGTGGGGTGTTACATAATTCACATTTAGATTTGAAGAGCTCATTATAAAAAACTTGACACACTTCAGGAATATTAAATTACTGCAGATTGTGTGGAGCAAAGAAACATTATTGAAGCATTTCAGAATTCTGGACGAGCCTGAATTTAACTGATAGGGTTTCACAGCTTTTACTGGGAAAGACGATTCGAGTTGTCACATGGTTTCTGGCCCTGGAGGACTTTAATCTCCTTAATTACAAAGAAATGAATTTCCTAAATAATTTGGAGTTATTTCACAGCACTTGCTCAACCTCTGGCTTTTGGAAAATTAAAGGGGAGACCAGAGCTTGTGCTGTGTATGTTCTGTGTTGCAGCTTCCTTTTGAAAGTTTGTATGCAGGATGATGCTCTACTTCCTTTCATTGCTGATACGGAAGTCTACCTCTAGACTCTACAAACAACACGTGTACCAGTTAAATGAAATCACATCGTGTCAAGCAAGTGACGGCGTGGAACCATGGAAGCCTGGGAAGTGCTCTACTCTGGTTTTTTAAAGCCCAAGTAGAGAAAAGGGTCCAAATCCTGTTTATTTTTACATATTGGCTTTTTTGAGAATCCTCAAATTTGTGTAAAATCCGTACATTTCAGCTGCTTTCTGTGTATGGCAGGTAGATACCTACTGTGTAGGGGATCATCGTGATGGGAAGATCTTAGGTGCTATCAGCACTGTAATTTGTACTGAGGATGCTGCCTTACCTTCTCAGTTGCTGCTCTGTAAAGTCCAGATAGGGCAGGTGACTGGGACATCCGCTGTTGAGTGAGTACTCCGGAGGGTGTACCTAACACTAGGAGCATGCTCGGAGGCCTGCCAGGTATTCTTCCAGTTACTCTGCACTTGTGATCTTTCTTAATTTTTCCAACATCTCCTTGGATTTGGCAGTATTTGCCCCATAGTAGAGATACAGGACGTGAGGGAGGAGTGGAATGACTTCCTCAAGTCCTGTGGTGGCTCAGTGGTTGAGACAAGATTGTAACTAAGACCAGGTCCTACCACAAATAGAGAGTTCATGTTAGTAGCAGGATCAGAAATCTTTTTGCTTGAAATTTGTCTTTGAGCCAAACTCAGAGTTTCGTGGAAGATCAGGGCAGATTTGCCAAGAGGCATTCCACAGGAAAACAGAGGCACAAGGAAGAAGCGAGAAGGTTGGAAAGTGTATTACGTCCCTGTCACACTTGTGCTTCCTTTTATTATTTTGGTTTTGTTGATTTCTGGCCTCCTTGCCTTTGCACATATTGATGCTTCTGCCTAAAATAACCCATCGTTCATTCATTTCTTCATTCATTCTGCATGTGCTTCATGAGAGCCTTTTGGTCCCTTTCTCTACCCCTATGACAGAAGCATCGTTCCTCATAATCCTGCAGAGTAGGGCTTGTCCTGTATGCAGCTTCACTGACTTGTAATCACAGTCAGTGGGCATCCACAAGGTGGATGAGTCCTTGCACTTTTTGCCCACTGTGCCTGGAGCTTGTACCTGTTTTAGTCTTGGTCATATAGGTGTGTCACTATTCATGTGACTTACACCTCTGCCAGACTAAACTTCCTTAAGGACAGGGACCAGACTTAGATGGTATCCTCATGGCCAGCATGCTGCTTGGTAAACATGGACAGTGCTGAGCCAGTGTAGATTCTTAGTATTTGTTTCAATAAAATGATAAATATCCCTGGGGAAATTAATTGTGTATATGTGTATAGGAGCGACTTTGAGCCTCTGTCATCTCCCATAGATTGTGACCTTTGGGGGAGGGGTTTGGGAAGGGGGAACTAAGGGCCTGCTGTGGATAAATGACCCAGATATGGCAGAAGTCTTCATCTGTGGACAATTCCGTGGGCCCCATCCTCTGAAGTTACTAGTGATACACATAACAAGTGTGTCCTTGTACAAAATAGCTTATTGAAACAAAGATTGAAATCGCTATCCTTGGGTCAGTGGAAAGTTCCTTGCATCAAAGCTTTATTTTTACTTTTTGTAGTCCCTATATGTCACCTTCTAGGTAAGCCATCTTAGCTGTCATGATGGTGAGTTTTGGGTCATGGTTCTCTCTGAGCTGAAGCTGGCTCTCAAGGTCAGCGCCACAAGATGACACAGTTGGAATCTGGGGCATGAGCTCAGAGTTGGCCAGGCAATTTGTGGATCCATTTCTCCATTTCTAGTAGCTTTTCTTAATATTTTAAAAACATGGGTAAGAGTGATATTTTTATTTTCAGTGGGTTTCTGAGATGTAACTGTCAGACAGGTAGTCATTGGGAAAGACCAGCGACCGTGATTAAATTTAATCAATTTGAGGAGATCAAGTGGGATAGCATGGGAGAGCATAGTACCGGGAGAGCTTACTGTCCTATGAGAACACAGTACCCAGCAGGCACCTTGTAGATGCCCACTGTGACTGCGGTTATTGTGTTACTACAATTGTCATATTCTCCTCCAAGTTTTGCCTGAACTGAACAGTGCCTGGTATTGTGCAGCACATATTTATTAGGGAATGCATGAAACGTGTGCCTGCCTGCTCCTTTTCTTTCCTTTTTCTTTCTACATTAAATGCTTGTCTGCTCTTATAGCTGGGGGAAAGCTGACATAAAAATTGGCTTGCTGGAAAGTTTTTCAGCCCCATTTGTCACCTTACCCTTGGAGCCTAAATGCGTGTCAACTCCGTGCCCCTCCAGTGCCTGCCGCGGCAGGCAGACCGCAGGTCAGTCCCCTCTGCCCGGGCTCTGATCAAGCTTGCCGGATGAATGGCTGCCCTGTCCTTGGCAGTGTCTCCATGGGGCCAGCCAGGAAATACATCGTTGTGATATTTTCCATGTGACATCTGGTGCTTGAAAAGAAGGAACATGAGATACAAAAAGTGTAGTCTTGCTCCTCTTGAAAATTCCAGAGGTTCAGGAGCTATTTTTTCAGTACCTAGTGTGAGCAGAAGTTTTGCAGATAAGCTACTCTAGGAGAAACCTCCCCAGTGGCTTTCTGAAGCTATACGGGCAGTTGGTGCATAAAGCGCACGGTCTCTTTGCTCCCTTGTGGGTGCCAGTTCACCTGTGGTTTTTGTTTTGCTTGAAAAGGACTCCTGTTCTGATGCCCTCTCGCCTTGATTTGCAGAGCTCTGCACGAGTGAATGACAGGCCCAGCTCGTGGTGCCGTTTCTGAAGGGAGGAGCCTTTCTCTGGAGAGGGTCCTCAATGAGCCTGGCCGCGGCCCGGGAGCTGTGTGAAGCGGACTAAGGGTTAAGTAGGATGTCAGCTGAGACAGAACTTCAAGTAGCTGTGAAGACCAGCGCCAAGAAAGACTCCAGGAAGAAAGGTAGGGCCACTTCTGCTGCTTGCTTTATGGTTCCTTCTGCACAAGAATGAGGTCTTGTCTCTGGAATGACATCAAGAAGTGTACTTGCAATGGCCCGTTTTGAAAGTTGCTTGGTGTTTTAAATGTTCATTGTATTTTAATGGCTGTCTCTTATTCCCCAGGTAAAATTCAAAATTATTTTCCTAACGTACACACCCCTTCTGACTATGCCTCTACCCACCTCTCTGGCATCCTCTACCCCACTCCTCCGGCTTCTCGGAGAAGTCTATTTGTCTTGGCTTTGCGAGTGCTATGCATTGCAGATTCTGCAGTACCAGTGTCCTGCCAGGCTTTCTAAAGCTCAGCTTGCTGTGGCCTTCCCTGGAGTTTCTCGGGTCCACTTAGTGGCTTCTGTTTTGTTTATTTCTGGTTTTCTTTGGTAACACATTGTTGATATTTCAGTTTATTAAAATGTGCTGTTTTGTGGGTCAGCTATGCTGTCAACACCCTCCGAGCTGGTGCGCTTGTTCACGCTGTAAGTCCTGTGTAGGTTGCAGAGTGCTGGGCAGATGCTGATGGAGATTTGCAAGCCTGGGTAATACGTAAGTGACTGTCGCTTTCCATGTTTTGGGGAGAATCTGGTCCCTTAGCTTCTCAACCCTGTCTTTTAGCGCGCCTGTGCCCTATAATTAGAAGTAAGCGCGCATGCGTTGTGTGTGTGTTTCCTGTGGTCTCAGCATTTACCCAGCCCTGTCTTCTCAGCTGCATGGAAAGGAATTCAGAGAAATCTTAGGTCTTGAGATCTCTCCACCCGGGCTGGCAAACCAGGATGCCTATGGCCACTTGGTGGAGTAGCGCCTTATTCACAGTGTCACCGTGCCCACCTGTCCTGTCTTGTGGTGCCTTTGGTCTCACACTGCATGCAGCAGGGGGCATCAATGTGATACCTGTGTGGCTCTTGGACTGGCAAAACCCTAGGAAGCGCCATAAATTGTTTTTCATCTTTACCTGAGACACAGATATTTTGGAGGAAGTCTATTTTATTGGCTTCCACTTAATGGAAACCTTGGTTTTCTCTGCACCATGGTCTAAGAATGATAGAAAGGTAGGTGGGAGAACAGTGCTTGTGAGAGGGGCCGTGTGGAAAGTAGGAAAGGATTGGGAGGCCTGGCGCGTGCTAGGATTCAAATGCTTTTTCAGTTGGAACTGACAAGTTCTATTTTGCTTCAGATTTAACCTTTCTACTAAGCTTGTGCTCTTGAATGCTTAATGCATTAAAAATTGTATCTTAGTGAATACTTTTCATTATTAATTTTAACATGCAAAACCAGAAGCATTCTAAAGAGAAGATTCATATTTTCAGGACACTGGTTTTGTTGGAAATTTGGGACTGGAGAGACTGAAGGTGACCCTTTTGGAAACTCCTCATTTTTCACTTCCATGGAAGCTTTTAAAATAAGAATAAATGCATGTCGCGAGTGCCAGCAGGTCTGGGCAGGCAGATCGGGGTTCAAATTCTGGCTCTGCTACACCCTCACTCTGTGACTTCTTCACCTCTTTGACCTCAGTTTTATCTATAAAATGAAGATGTGATATGCAAACCTCAGAGTTCACTATGAAGATTAATTGACGTCAAGTAAATAAAGCACCACACAACTCGGCATGTATTAAATGCTCAATAAAGGTTACCTGTTTGCTTCCTCCTTTTCCCCACCTCTTTCTCTGGTTTTCTCTCTTTACCTTTCCTTCTCTGCCATTTTCCTTCATTCCCCCCTCTTTTCCCTATTTTCTTCTCCCATCGCCTGTCTTGCCTTAGCCAGCCATGTATCCTGCGGTTAAGCAACAGAAACTCATTTCCCTCAGACCCAGAGACTGGACCCAGACACCACCCAGCTTCATTCTTGGCAGGAGCTGTCCTCTGGCTTCTTGATGACTGCCTCCTAGCTGTGTCCTCCTAGCTGTGTCCTCTGGCTTCTTGATGACTGCCTCCTAGCTGTGTCCTCCCTTCCATGCTCCTTCCCTGTTTGCCACCCTGTCCTTATTTGGCCACTGTACCCACCACAAGGGCCCCACCATTCGGACTTCATCTGACCTGAATCACTTCCAAGCCCTCCCTCTCCCGACTGGCCTACTGGGCTTAGAGCTTCAGCAGCACTTCAGTTGGGACCTCACTATTCAGCCTATAGTACCCCACTTCTTTCCCTTCCTTCTCCTCTCCTCCTCCTCCCCTTCCTTCTCCTCAACACATCCTCTTCTTCCAAACCATTATATAGTCAGGGGGTTTTGAAAAAGCATATTGTTGATTTGTTCCACAGCTCTATTTTTACAATTTTGTAATTGTACAGGGACAAACAATTACAATTCGTGCTCCATATTGCTTGTCTGGACCAGGGTACCACAGAATCACTGCATGTATTAAAAAGAGACAGTGAACCGCAGGAACCAGACTGAGTCACTGCTGATTCATTCTTGAGTTTTAACTGCTCCAATAAACAGATGTTGCTGTCGCTGACGTGGTCAAAATATGTAGAGGCTTAAAAGAAATAAGCATTGTACAGGTTGATCTTGAATCGTGGATGTAAATGTTGAACTCTTTTACTTTCCTCAGCACTTCCTGGATTTTCTGTAGATACAGCAGCAGGCTGCAGTTAAGTTTCTGTGTGTTTCAGTCCTTCGGTCCATAATCTGTTTCTCCTATCTCGCTGCACTGGCGGGGCTGTCAGGACGATATTTACTGATAGCTAGTATACTTGCTTCTCAATTGATGAAAATGCTTCTCAGCACAGTTAAGTGTAATATTTAAGGTTTTACTAAAGATGCAGTATTAGTTCCTTTTAGTGTATTTTCTAGGAAGTATTTTTGCACATTCGATTTTACCACATGTATTTTTTGTATTTATTTCAACTATTAATATATATGTATATTTTTATTCTTTAAACATTTGACTTGTTATTTTTATTTTTAATTAATTATCTATTTGGTACAAGGTCTCATTGTGCAGTTCAGACTTGTGGTGATCCTCTTGTCTCAGCCTCCCCAGCACTGGGGTTACATGTGTGTGCCACCATGCCAAGTTTCGGAGGCACAGTGCACCTACCCCAGGGGTGGGGCCGGCATGATATGCAGTACTGGGAATTGAACCTGGGTCCTTGGGCTTGCCAGATAGGCACTTAGACCACTGAGCTATCTTACCAGCCTTAAAATTGTTTATTATGGTGGATTTAAGTGGTAGATTTTGTTTTATTTCTGGGGTGAACTTCACTGCTTCCAATATGTTGTTTTCTGTCTCCTGCTATATTTGTCTTATAAGGTTAAGAATGTCTGTTTATCCGTATTCATCAACAGTATTGGTGTGCAGCTTCATTTTCTTAGAAAACCTTGTGTCTGATATTAGTCAAAGTTATGTCCTCATACAAAGGCACTGGTAGAAGCAAAGCCTGAATCATATGTAGGCTGCTTTCTGGATAAAAAGATGTTTCCTTTTTTAGTAATTTCATTTAACCTTTTAGGTGCCCTATATGCTTATTATTGAAATGAGAGAAGCAAAGTAATCATGTACAATCTCACTGAGCAAAAACAGCCTCCACGGATATTCTAAGTCACTCGCCTTCGGACTAACTTTCTTGAATGCTGTGTGGTTGAGTCATGCTATCCTGGCTGGCCCTTGTATGTGCTCCTTGGTTATTTGATGCTGTGTCACAACTACATTTTCTGCATCATTTCATGAGATTATAGAGTAGAAGAACTTTTCTCCCTTCAGCAAGATTTAGATGGCTTCTAGGGCAGGTGTTTTATTTCCTGAAAGAGAATGCCGAGCAGTGTGTGTCACCTGCCACGCACAACAGTAATGTAAAGAAAGTTCAGAGCCTTCCATTAGAGCTTTTCACAAGGTCTTCACCTGGTCCTTTACTCAGGGTTGATGAAAGCCAGGGTGGTTTCAAATACAAGTCACACAAGGGTATACTTCATCATAAAATGAGCTCCTAGACAGGATAGGTGTGAAACAAAAACTAGAGTATTCACAATACAAATAAGGAGTCAAAGCAGTGAAAAATAGTTATTTTCTTCTTTTCATTTTATGGAGACTTTTTTTTTCGGTGCCAGGGATTGAACTCAGGACCTTGTGCTTGCCAAGCAAGCACTTAGTCCACTGAGCTCTCTCCCCAGCCTTTCATTTTATTGGATTGTGCCACTACACATACTGCTTGTCACATGATGGCTGTTGCAGTAGTGGAGTTTGATGCAGCGCCCAAGGAAAACAGTGTGTACTTTCAGGTTCATTACCTGCCACCAAAGGGTGGAGGAGCTGACATGGGTCTTTCTATTTAGAACCCCAGCATTAGAACATCCATGGGAGGCTGTGGTAAGGGAAGGGGTCCCCAGGCAGGCAACAGATACTTCTGAGGGTGGTTGCTTCAGAGGCACCATCTGAGGGCTTAGTGTGGAGGAAGAGTACTGGTTTTAGAGCCCACTAGACAGAGTGTGGTTTCACTTATCTTTTAAGAGGTACGTGTGTGTATGTGTGTGTGTGTGTGTGTGTGTGTACATGCATGCATACACGTGTTACTTCTTCCACTTGTCATTAGAAGAGTATGGTCTACTAGATCTACCAGGCCATTGGCCTTGTAGGCATTATTATTTTCGTGTGTGTGTGTGTGTGTGTGTGTGTGTGTGTGTTACTGGAGATTGATTGAACTCAGGACTTTGCACTTGCCAGGCAAGCATTTATTCTACTGAACTATTTCCCTGACCCCCGAAGTTTTGTTCTTTTTTTTCCCCAAAGGGACATTTTTACTATTTTCTTTTCTTTTCTTTTTTGGTACTGGGAATAGAACTCTGGGCCTCACGCTTGCTAGGCAGGCGCTGCACCACTGAGCTATATCCCCAGCCCTATAGGCATTGTTTTCTTGTCTTTTTTTTTTTTTTTTTCCTGAAATCATTGTCTCCTTATTTTTCTAGAAACAATGGAATTCAACTTCTCCATTTTTCTACAACCAAGGACAGTCAGTTAACAGCAGCAG